CAAAATCGCTAGTTTGTAACTTTTAAATACCTATACATTTTTACACAGTCGTGTTTTTGTTTTTCAATAATCAGCTTGTGTGAAATCTATTTCAAACAATTATGTCTATTAAAAATCGCCTGTTGATCGAATTTCTAACGATTTCAATGTCTTGTTATTTTCACTTTTTTACTTTATAGCACATAATGATCGAAACATTACGCTTGTGTACTTCTTCTACAAATAAACATTAAATTCAAATTCAACAAACATTAATTTCAAATATGATGTGCATTCTTGCGTCATATTTGCTTTAAAGGGGGTACAAAGAATTTTGTTCGCAGCATCGTCGGAGTCTCTCAAAAGGAATATTTTTTCCTCGTTTTAGCAACAACTTCATTGCTGTTCGGCTACTATTCATAGTTGTAGGGAAGCCCTAGAAGGGATTTCGGGATTGACTCGAGCGTGACAGATTAACATAAGAGGAATACCTTACACCCAGTTGATACCTCCACCATACATGAGGCCTATATATAGGGCCGAGGGTCTAGGGCAACGCATCAGATTAGTAAAAAAAATCGATAGTCAGAAATACTCGATCGCGTCAAATTTAGGTAAGTTGGGTTTATAACTTTGCTTTTATGTAAAAAATCTGAAGTAGTTCCTGAGACTAGCGCCTTCAACCAAACAAACAAACTCTTTAGCTAGCTTTTGTCCGCGGCTCCGCCCGCGTGTATGTCGGTTATTGCGGTAAAACGTAACCAATGCCACTCGCAGTCACATCAACAGCCTTTAATGGTCTATTTTTCGAGTCAGTTTTGTTCCTTATTTCTCTTCAATGCAAACAAAATATGCCACAGCGAAGCGTGGCAGGGTACAGCTAGTTTTAAATTAATTTCCTTTTAGTCCTTAATAACGGAGATACTGGCACACATCAAAACAATGTTGTGGTATATTTAAAAGTGCCATTGTATCTATCTGTGAATTGTGAGTGGCCATGAGTTTGTTTGCCCTTTCTTCTCATAAGGCTCAACCCCTTGGAAACGGGCGGTTGTAGATCGGCACAGGCATATCATAGATTTTGTATGGGTTTGATTTTTGTTAAATTTATTTCCTTACTATTTGACAAAACAAAGATGGTTGCTTTTGTGTGTGTTGATCTATGACTTTAGAGACTACATAAAAGACGATTTCAAACAATTAAAAAAAAATGATGAAATAAAGAGAGTTTGAGTTTGAATATAGTTTTAAAATCATCACTCATAGATTTAAAAAAATGTGTATTCTTTGTTAAGTTTCATTACTAAAAAAATATAGGTACTGAGTAAGAGTCGGTCTTAAACAGGGTATATGCTTTAAGGGTTGGGCCGTCAATGGCCAATAGAGTAAAATGTTACAGCCTTGACCCCATTGTTTCTCGTTCCACAAAGTTTTCGGACCAAAAGGGTACAATTTATGCTAAAGATTAATCTTTCTATATACTGGCACTACAGACAAAATGTTGGCGTAAATTTCTTTCGTATTTTATTCGTAGGTTTTGTGGTGGTGGTGTAATTTATATTCAGTTTAAATGATTCCCTTTATGTAATAATCTGTATAAAATACATTTTAATTTAAAGAATTTAGTTAAATATTTAATGCAAAACAGTTTACCAGTAATTCCTCATTTTGGTAATGCTCACGCATTTTAAAGAAGACTGTCAAGTAGAATAATAATTAACTACATAATTATTAAGCAATTCTTTGAAGTCGAACTAAACATTTTGACAGCTCCTTTTTGGTTTGAATCGCCTAAGTTTGGTTTGAATTTACGGGCTACTTCTATTTTTCCAGACCATTACAATTCTGGATCATTGAATAGTATATTGAATATGTACATACAAATTGGTTTCCTGTGATAGGGGTGTTTATCATCTTCGTCTTCATCGTAATTTTCCATAACACGAGTTAGAAGATAAACGCCTATTCTATTACCGAATAGTATAACGGGCCTGTCGGTCTAGTGGTTAGTGCCCTGACTGCTACGTCGGAGGTCGTGGGTTCGATTCCCACACACCACAAATAATTGTGTGTTGAGCACGATGATTTGTTCTATGTCTGGGTGTAATTTATCTATGGTATATATGTATTTAGTAATATATAAGTATGTTTATCAGTAGTCTGGTTACCATAGCACAGGCTCTGCCTAGTTTGAAACTAGACGGTCGTGTGTGAGATCAGTGAAGGGAATATATATATATATTTTTTTCATTATATGATTATTATTATTACAAATAGCGGTGAAATATTAGTCGTAGTTGCAAACAAATATTATATTTAGACATTACAAGGTTCCATAATATGAAAAAGAGTTTCGTATACTCAATGTCTTTTCAATATTCGATATGTGTACTTACTCGAAACAAATTTATTTATTATTCTGACTATAAAATTTCACGTTACGAGTACACGTGAATACATATGATATCTTTCAGTTCCTATTATGCAAGTATATTTAGCGATATCTCAAGCTGGTACCGTTTGAAAGCCTATCAGTATTATACACAATTACTAACTTTGTCGTACTAGTCTACAGTCTAACAGAGGGTAACAATTCTTATTGCTTTGTGAAGCCACCAAAGGGTGTGCCCTTTCATAGTACACTGCTGGACGTAAGCCTCTCCTTAGAAAGGAGGTTTTGGCCTACTATACTACGCTGGCCAGACAGGTTGGTATAGTGTTTGTGTCAAGTTTTCCTTTTCTTTGCAGTGTTGTTGTCCTGCGTAGTTTGCTCCCTTAGTCGGCTATTACGACACCCATAGGGGTGGTGACACTCCGTATTCTTAATCCGTTACCACACGTCTTATTGCTTATTGAGAGTAATTTCGTGTAGTGTGTGAATTTTCTTAGTTTACCTCAATCACTTATACAGTAGGGATACTTTCATATAAGTACAAATTCATAAAAGAAACAACATACTCGTACATAAATATATACATATTCAGAATAAAAATCCAGTTTTTAACGTTTTTATATCCTTTTATTCATCAAGCGATAGAGATAGAAACTGTCTATCATTTTATGAACTGACGAAGTAATCGTTAGTTAGTTTCCGCCCTGTTTATATTTTACTTATAGATCATTTTTATGTCTAGATGGATGGATGGATGATCGCATTACAAAACAATTAAAAAACGTATCTACTTTACTATACTGGGCTCCGTGCAAATCTATGCTGGTGAGCGTACAAAATTTATGCTGCTGTGCATGCAAATCGAGCGTTTATAATGACAGCGACAACATAGCGCCAGCGGAAAGGAACTTTATTGCCAACTTGCAGTTGGACACTATTTTTTTCGACACTTTCATTGACAACAGTCTATCTAGACATATCAATGACCTAACATTTTACTTAAACTTCACGCTCCACAACTGTGAAGGCATTATCTACTACTTCTCCTGTCTTACCAAGGAAATGCATACCGTTTTTAAAACGGTAGAATTTTGCTTTTTAGATTTCGATTCGTCATTTGTAACGCAAAGTACGTTCTGTCATTTTATCAAAGAAACACAAATCACGAATAGATTCTAGTATCCTCTATAGATTTTTAAATAAAACATTTTATTTGTGTGTATAAACTATCAACACCATCACAATTATATATTTTTTGATGTTTTAGTACAACATAACATGTTGTACTTACATAATGCAAGTACACTAACTACGTTCAGACTTACGACGAGACGAGACGTTAATGATAATATATATATAAGAGATCACAGAAATACAAACAAGAGATAAGCAAAAGACGAGAACAATTCGATATTTTTGCTATCGCTGTAATAAAGACGTACCTACACTTGAAATGAAATTGAAATTGTACTACGCAGTCAACAAAACCTTCGTGTTCTTACATAAATATTTTGGCTGTGCCCCTTCCTCCCGACACACATCTCGTGGCACGTGTCTGTCTGTACGTGACCGGGAGTAAAAGAAGATAATAATATATACTAGTACAGACTACGGATATGTTACGATTTATTGCTTTTTCAATAACTAGGGTACATCTATTATCTATATATACTATATTAATATTAGTAAACTCGAACACCGTTTCAAAGATCACAATAAAAACCTTGATCATCTAGTGCTGTTTGTAAATGTTTTTATGCTGTCTTTTTTATTTTGTAGTTTAGTACATATATTATGCAGGAATCTCTAGGAAAACTTTAGAAGTTTATACTGCTCTTATTTAAATTGATTTCCTTCCAGCGTGTGCTGGGCGGAGTCCCAGTCGGCTGCGCAGTGCTGGCATTGTGCCGTCTCCTTGCGTCCAAATCTGATTCAGGTTTTCACCAAAGCAGCCATGCCCAGTGAGTACCTGCGTCAATCGGTAGTTGATGCGACCTTCCTTCCTACCTACCCAAGCTTCAGGTTAGGCAAAACCTACAGCGCGTTGGCGCGCGTTCCGCGCACCAGTGCCTGTTGGTGAGCGTTCCGCTGCATTCGAGCTCGTGTTGGTCTTCCCCGCTTTTACCCCGGCGAATCGCCGCGAGTCTGGTCATACCCTCGCATCCATATTCGCCAGGATATCAAAAGGCGGGAAACGTGCCAGGACTGTCGCCGCCTGGTATAAGAATATTAATAGTAAGGTGGCAGGCCTCTGTAGGAAGCCCGGCACCTCGCGAACTCGGGGATCATCCGCTCGAAATGCTTCTCGAAGCTCCAGCGGCTGTCCATCGGTGAGGCCGAGGTATTTGATGTGCCGCCCGACCTAGACCTCTGTTCCCCCACTCTAATAAGCGAACGAGTTTGAACTGCACCGCTGCATTTCCTGTGGAAACACAGGGCTTCCGTCTTGTGAGGTTGCGGTCTGGGTCTAAGGTTTGCCCTTATCTGTAGTAAAGATCTTCACTAGAAATCTTCTTTACTGTTTTTCTTTCTAGACTAATTTCATAATTTGAAATGTAATGAAACTCGTTTTTACAAGAATTTGAAATAAATATGTATTAAATATAATTATGAAAACATTGAAAGCCAATTAATTGCGATACCAAACTTGGCAGACTTTCATCCGTTTGACTTTCTTGCCGAGCAGGAGCATAGCATACAGAAGCGCTTCAGCTGTTGGTGGACAACCGGGAACATAAATATCAACCTAAACAAAAAGAGAAGATTCGAGTTTAAAAAGTTATTTGACCCTTTACATGACTGGCAGGAAGCGTTCTAATCTTGACTCTTTAACCATTGATAAATAGTAATTATCAACTTCGTTAATGATGTGATAAACTAAAAGTGCTTAAATACTGCAGCTAAACACTTCTTGTAAGAACAGAGTTATGTTCTTGTTGCTTGTTATGAAAGTTAAGAAACCAGCTCAGCCTTTTCAAAAAGTTTGTAGCGGAATTTTCAATCTTTATTTGAAAATTGTAACAATTAATGTGCTATAGTCTTATATACTGATATTAAAGATACGTAGAAACGGGTGTTAAGTTTCTCCAACTCAATGAGGCGATGTCTCTACTAGATGTAGACACACCTGTGTAGACAGTGGCCAACAGTTGATCCTGGACAATTGTATTTTATACTTATAAGTATATAAACTAATCTTCCCGAGAAATTTTATTGTGAGATTAGTTACTTCGAATAAATCTTAAGTATAACTTACGGGTACAATCCTATCACAACCTCGTACAGTACTATACGTGTAATGGTAGTAGCCTCCGCCATTAGCACAGCTGCCCATCGAAACTACCCATTTGGGATCAGGCATCATGTCGTAGGTTTTGCGAAAAATGGGCGCCATTTTGTTGGTGACGGTTCCAGCTACGATGATCACGTCGGTCTGCCGGGGTGTACCGCGGAACACCATGCCGTAGCGATCCATATCGTATCTAAAATAAAGATTTCAGTTGTTATCGTAATTGTTTAAAAATATAGTAGTAGTAATGTTGACTGTAGCTCTTCACTAAGTCTTATAGCAATACCAGTATTTCTCTACGTCCACTTTTTTTTTTCCATTCCTATCGGTGGCATGTCGGACTCGAACCGACTAAAACCGCACGCCGTCTCGGGTACTAATAGCCGGGCAACCAGGTATACCCTAGAAAGGAAGTCCCTGGTGCCCCAACATACCTCGGGCCATCTACAGACGAGTAGACAACCCCCCCCCCCCCCGTGTGGGAACCCCATGTTCCCTCTGCTCCCTGGAAGCGAGGCTTCGCCACCCCTGCCTGCTTCTGCTAGGGTGACAGACCTCACCTGTCACCCCCAGGCCTGCGCTTATGGTCGTTCTGCGACCTCCGGCGCCTGATTCGCCTGCGGTACCTGGCCCGTTCCCGTGCCTGGCGGGCCGGGAGAGTTCTAAACCTCTCCCGGTCCCGCGACTCTCTGTAACCAAGTTGTCGGTCTGTTTAGAGTAGCAGTATTTGGGTAGTTTTGGTTATCATAGAGAACGTGCATGTATAAACTAGAGCTAAAGGGTTTAGGGCAGAGACAAGATTGATGTTAATGTTTGGAATCTGACGGAAATAAATGTCAAAATAATTTATCGATGACCCAGTGATTTGACCTTTTGGTGTCAGAATGATTTGATCAAATCACTAGGTCACAAAGGTCTTTTGTTAATCTCTACAACAATTAAGGGCCGATTCTGTCAGTAGTCGCTTTTAAACAGATCTATTGTTAACTTTAATCAGTGGCTTCTATGTCGCGTGAATCCTCACAATGCATGTATCTACTAAATATAACATGAAAGGGAGAGCTATCAAATAAATGTTACAATTCTTTTTTGTCCTCATCCGTATTCTTTGTGGAGAATTCCTTTGTATAAATACGGCAAATAAATACAATTTGTCAATGTCTCTGAACCGTTACTGTAACGGAAACCTGGTATTGGAAAATTCACAGCTGCTATTCAGTATTATATAAATTGAAATGCTTATGTCTTCTTGTAAGAATATCTTTATTCTGTATTGTTTAAATAGTAGCTCTTTTTAGAATTATGGGCAGTTCGTTTACATGCAGTTCAATGTATTAAGGTATGCTTTTATTAGGACGTACAATTAACGAATTTAAATTTTACTCTGAAGTGACGCAAATATATTATATATAACGATATATGTATCTGCAAGATTGAGATCTAATCTATATTGAGGAATTAGAGAAGAGCTGATTTAGGTTAAAACCTGTTTAATTCCATAGATCACACTGCGACACTGTGTGATCTTCTGTGTGCTACTATTTTTCTCATTTAAAATGTTTATTGAAGCCAACTTACATGAGAGGTCCGCCGTCTGTTAGTGGCTGTTCTATATTTCTTCACAGTTCTCTCTCAAGCAGAAGAAAAGAGCAAACATCTTAATCTCAAAGTAGTTTACAGCTTGGTTTGTGCTTCAGCATTAACATAGTTTACTCTATCCTTCTCTATACTCCCTTCTTCTCAGTTAGAGATCATTGACGATTTTAATTGACACACATATATTAAAATAGGATTACCTAGGAGCCGCGTAGTGCATCATTTCCAAAGCGCAGCAGGCGAGCCCGAAAGTCAATGGCCACAAAGAACCCTTACGACCCCAATTGAGAATATCGTCTGCTCGAGCCACCACCCACTCCATGGCGCTCTGGAACATTGTCAGAAGTTATGTAATGTTAAAACATTATAAATGCATAATTTGAGTTGGCAAAAAATCGATGTTTTGTTAATCGGCCTCTTTGGCAATTAGATGAAAAAATTGGGGCTATAAAAAGTCCACTGTATGTTGACTCTGAAGTAAATAGAAAAGTGATTTGAGTATAAAAATGTCGCACCTAGGAACATGCATCTACGACTAATAGTGATTGCATTCCTCCTTAAAAAAAAGATCAGTGTCACAACCATGTTATTATTATTTTTTAAATATAACAGCAAATTAGGGGTCTACAAGAAATATTTAAAATGTCTGTTTATAGAAATGAAATATTATTATGTATGGACAAAGACAAAACTTTTTATAAATATATACATATTACAAAAAAAAAGGTTGACGATTTTCTAATACAAAACGAAAGATCTGCTTATTTTGAACAGAATACCCGTGTATTTCAATCTGGGGAAGTGATAAGGGATCCCGGACTGGACCTCACGATCCCTAGATTCCCGTATAACCCTCAATTCCATACCTTAATTGGAAATCGGATAGGGTTGTCGGAATATACGGTTACCGGTAACAGGCTATTGCAGTTTCAGTGAAAAATTTTTTTATTAGGTTTTAGAAGTAGATTTCTGGAATTGACGAAGAGCTTTTATACTAAAAGTATTAGATGACATGGGCGAGAAGTAACCCTACGGCTCACTTGACATTAATTAATTTGCAGACATTTCGCACCTTATACTGTGCCAATTATATCGTTTGTTAATAATCCTAGTTTAGGCGTCAATAATACAATATCTTGTACAAACTTCTTAGCCTTTATACGTCATGAAATTTTTAAATTCTATTGAACTATGTTTGTATTAGACTTCTTGAAATCAATTTAGAATTATTATTTAACTGCTGCACAACACTATATCGGAATTCCATACGGGTCTGTTTGGTAACAGAGTCCTTAGAGGCACCAGTAAACATCAAACTTGATACTGGTCTCTGCTTAATACTTTTGTTATATAAATAATAAAATGACACCAAAATAATATTACATTAGAGCACTATCGAAATGTGTCTATAAACGTATGCCCGCACTATTCTTCGTTTAATTTTCCTTTAGACGAGTACCATTAATGCCGGATTACTGTTCTGCTGTTCGGGGGCTTTGCCTAAGATTACCCGCCGCACTACTACTGAGATATTATGTACAGAATGTTGTTTGAGAATAATTATATATTTAAATAAGAAACGTATTCAGAAAAGTCGAGAACGAGTCTTCAATGTTCTATTCCAGACTATAATCTGTCTCTGTGCTTAATTTGGTTCAGATCCGTTTAGCCGTTTTTGATCGATCGATACAAACTTTCGCCTTTAAAATATTAGTAAGATTAAGGCTAATGGTTAAGTTTATCATATTAGGACCATTACACGTATCGTACTTTTTATTTAAGTGCAATGAGGTGACCTCATTGTTCAATACTTAATGTGTGACACTTCTACTTACGCTGACAAGAACAATGCTTAAAACACACAACACCAAACCCCATCTTCCCTAGCAGTTTTGAACACCCATTTTTGATTCACTGTATTGACAAAAAACTTATTCATTTTATCTTTATTGTTATCTATGTTACGTAGTTTAAACAATAACAGTTTTCAACATCTTCCCATAACATTGTGGACATAATTCCATCAAAATTATGTCCACCTTCTTATTGTTTCCCATGCGGCAGTAAATTTACTACCTCGTATAAGGTCATATAAGCCCTTGTACAAGAAACATTTTGAAGGGAAACGAAGCAGTGTTTACTTTATAAGACGCTTTACAAACATTGTTTACAATTGCCGATCACTGCGTTTACGGTATGAATAATCTGTAAAGACGGATCTACATAAGGCGCTCAAATAATTAATGAATGTTGTCACTTTACCGTGGTTTTTCATTTGATTACGTGTGGTACGTTTGTTTCACGTACCATCAACCCCGTCCACTTATAATATGACGCTTTTAAATTCATAATCTAAATCATTGCTATTGTCCCTTTTTTTTTACCTGAAGCGGTATGTCGGATTCAACCGACTAAAACCACACGGTGTAAATGTAAATCTATTGAGAGGGATTCGGATTTATCCTGGGTAGGAACTTCTCGAAAACCCAGGCAGACCTGGGCAGCCACACCATTGAGTGCAAAGGGCCTTGCTCTTCTGACGTACGAACTCTGACGTTTTGATAATCCAAGTAATTAGTTTAATAATATTTGTATTCCAAACGCTCAAAATATAACACATTAAAGACCACCCAAAGCACTTTTACTGACTTTACCTAATTCCTATGACTTTGACTAACCTTATCACAGTCGTAAAATAATAAAATTACGAGTGCACGATAGTTACAGAAATTACACCAATACTAGTAATGTGTAATATAAGTGATTTGTAACTTGTTGTTTAATGACAAACTGCGAGTTACTTTCACATATGCATGAATAGTTTGATTATGTTTATTCATCATCACAGTTTAATCTGTGAATATTAATGTTTCTCACATACCATTATTTAGTTATAACTAAATGCACAAATTGTACACAGGCGGGCGTAATGCCTAGATCATTCTCCACTCTCTCTCTCTCTCATATAATGCGTGAATGCATGAAAATTTGATTTCGCTGATGACTAGTGTGGCGCTTCCTTAACGATTGTCCCCTTTGTACATGTTAGTGAACATAAATTAATTAGACACAGTAAACAATATAACAGTGGTCGCCACGTTCCGTATATCAAGCGGAGTCATAACATAAATCTTCGTGTTTAAATTATTATGTAAACATTAAATTCAAACAAAGTGAGATCTACAAATATAAATTATTATATATACGGGTATACTGCAGACAATAGAAAACAATCGCTTTATTATCGATTTTATATAATTATCGCATTCCTGTAACTCCAACTAGCTATTGTCAGGAAAATCGAGTCTTAGCGTCAGGAAACTTAAAACGTGTAAGAATACGTTTGGATCCACAGGTGGGACAGTGGGCAATCACCGATAACTTCAAGTATCATTCATTTGTTCAAGTAGCTAATTGAAATGTATTCAAGTGTTATTTTGCCGCATACGAATGGCTTAGTGGTTTAAGCGGTCACCTCGCCGCTTCCTACTGCGCCGAGTGTTGTGAGTTCGACTCCCACATGCAAAATTGTTGTTCTGGGGTAGGTTTTCTTTGCGTTCGGTTCGTGTTCATGTATTTTTGGTTGAGCAATAGAACACACGGCCCGCTGTAGAGTAAAAGTTTACGAATACCTATAAACAACATGCAACAAGTGTCCCAGGCCAAGATATGGCTTCGTAATCGTCTTCGTTGATGCCTTACACAGAAAACAAGTAAATAAAACTGAATCGCCTTTATTAAAACCATAATAAAAAATATATCCAAGTCCTTTACCTGCTTGGGAGCGTGGAAAGGAGAGTACCTCCTCGTATCGGTCAACTTGTATGCTTTCATGTAATGGTTAGGTGCTCGTGGCGTCACGTGACGATTAGGCACTTGAGGTATCTTCTTCTCCTTAGTTTGAAATTTAGCGCAAGGATCATTTGAAGCGTTCCTTTTAGATACTTCATTGTAGGCAGGTACGTAACGTTGTGGGTTAGGTCTTATATCGGTTCTCCATTGTAGGTCTTTGGTTAGAAATGGAACAGTTTTTATCGTCTTTCTCTCGTTTCTGTAATAAAAAATATTGTTTTGATAATGAGTGTTTGTCGAAATACGTTTTATCACATCAAATGAAAAAATAGCACCATTAAAAACCCTTGACACAAAAAAATATATAAAAAACAACTAATGCTCATTGAGACTGTTCTAATAAGCCCAAATATGGTATATATGCTGTAATTTTCTGAGGAGTGGGCTATGCCGCAAATTACTTAATTCAGCAGCAAGTTCCAGGTTACCTTGTCGTGTCAATACCATCAAAGTTACAGTATACCAAATTTCAGATCAATCGGACCTGTGGATTTTAATCCCTTCATTACCTAGGAAGTGAGCTGATGATCTTCAAAATTTATAGCTAAGAACCATCTCGTCACATCGGCTTTCAAACAAAAAAAAGAACCAAATGCATGATGCCACAAACAGACAGACAGATACGCAGATACACAGGTTAAACTTATAAACACCCCTCGTTTTCCGCCGGGGGATAAAAACTATGTGCAGAAGTTATTCTGTTATTTTACTGAGTAGCACTAAAAAGATTAAGTGGATTATTACCATACCATTAGTAAATAGGACCTTTGCAAAGCTAACCTATTTTAACTAGCTGTCGGCATATTCGTCTTTCAAAAGCTACTTGTTTTGATTGCTTACATTAATATCTAACTCGGGTATGTACGAGTAAACACTATGAATAATCGGGCAAAATTAGTTACTGTTAATTTGTCCTGACTATTGGGCCAAACTGTACAAACAAATTGTATTGTACAAACTGAAATTTCTAATTTAGATAAACATTAATTTACACCTACATTATAACAAGGCCTCAATTCTGTTTTTTTTATGTTAACGCCAAGCCACTGTCATTATATTGACATGCTATTTAGACGCGATTGACATCTGTCAAAATATCAGTATTCTACTATCATAAATTCACAGTGTCAATAGACTGTCGATATAGTAATATAGGTCATCAATGGTGATATCAACAACATTGCCATACCTGGAAAATTTAATAAACAAAAATCTTACAAATTTAAAATGGACCGTTTACCAAACTGTTACAAAGACATCGACGACATTTGTATCAGTGACAAGTCAATTCATTAGCCTTACGTAGCTAGTAGAATAGGAAAAGTGCACTTTGACTGCACGGATGACGTAGTGGTTTAAGCGGTCACCTCGCCGCTTACTACTACGCTGAGTGTTGTGGATCCGATCCCCACATTTCGATCCACAAATTGTTGTTCTGAGTCTGGGTGTTTTTGTGTCCGTTTTAAGTATGTTTATAAAGTCCCCCGCGACACAGGATATATTCCTAATGCGGGAGTTGTCTTTAAAAAATAAATGCAAAACTATTCCGACGACAATTCATCGACAGTCTATTGATACAATATTATAATAGCAGAATTGAGGCCCAGGTCAATCGTTAGATACAATTGAATCAATTTTTAGTTTATACCGTTTAAAAAATAAAGTTTTTATGTTTATGTCTTTTTACAGCGACACTTATCGAAAAGGGGAAATATTTTGATCTGAAACCACCACTCTACTTAATCGTACGATAACAGTAATTAGTTTGCACCATGTAAGTATTCCTATAGTGCGAAGACTTTATAAACATACAATTGAAAGCTATTAATCACTTTCTACATTTTGAACCTGTATGCAAAACACAAAGAGCTGTTAAGTTCGAATTTCCTCCCACTTCCCCTACCCTGCCCAGCTTCCTAATCACTACCATTTTTTTAAATAACTTTTTACTATAATTAGTTCAAATTTACATTTTGATGTATCAATATTTCTATTCGCCGAGACTGATATACTGACACTTTTAATTATAAAATAATGTATACGGAAGATAGTTGGTTTCATTAATAGTACCTATTTGACACTTAAATTCTTGCTTCTTGCTTCTATGAACATCAAGTTTGGAAATACTTGCAATGAATACATGTGATTGTGTAAACTGTTACTATTTTAATTAGACTTTCATCAAAATTAAAACAATGGCTTTATGTAAATATATTGGGCCATTAATTTTAATTTTGACTGGCTTGTTGGTTTTAGTGGCTAGTGATCCTGACTGCTAAGCCAGAGGTCATAGGTTCGATTCTCACCGAGGACAAATATTGTGTGATATATCACGATAAAAAAAACGATCATTTGGTTTATCTGTATGTAATTTATGTATAAAATACTAGCTGACACGCAACTATGTCTGCGTCTCACAGAAGGAATATATTTTCTCCTTTTTTGCTATATTTTTCATTAATGCATCTGTTGGTTGTACAACCTTCCTCTCGATAAATGGGCTATCTAACACTGAAATAATTTTTCAAATCGGTTCAGTAGTTCCTGAGGTTAACGGGTTCAACCAAACAAATAAACCGACAATCTCTTCAGCTTTATAATATTAGTATATAATTAAATTACAAAATATTTATTCATGCACACCATTCATATCTAACTTTATCAATTTTAAAGTTATGGGGACATAGATATCCTTTTTCCCGTGGGTTACGGGACGGGGTATTAATAAAACCGACAAAAGTCGAGATCGATGACAAAATTGTAACAACTGTAGCAGGTAAAAGTAGATAGACTTTTTTGCTATGTTCATTAACGGCCTTTGTTAGTCCAATGTTGGACATTGAAAGGAAGTTTTGGCCTACTGTACCATGCTGGCCAGACGGGTTGGTGTAGGGTTGTGTTAAGTTTTTCTTCTCTTTGCACTGCTGTTTTGCTGCTTAGTGTGCTCCCTTAATCGGCTCTTACGACACCCACGAGATGAATATCGATGGTGACACTCCGTGTTCCTAATACGTCATTTTAGGACACAAGGACATTTTAGGAAATTTTATATGTTAGGGAAATATAATAAATCAGTTCATATTATAATGGCCAGCACTTGAGGCATCTACTTCCGTGTCAGTACAAATTATGTTCAGTTTAACAAAGAGTAATTAAAACAAATTATTACAGTATGTAGTACACATCCTTGGCTCGCGGTACCCTCGTTAGCGCACGAACGTGACCGAAACCTCAAAGTACTCTACAACATACCAGACATGTTGGCTGGTAATAACGTATGTAATTAAATTCGTTCCTTAAATTATGATATTTAAAACATCTAACATATTTTGACAGACAAGCTTGTACCAGCAACATTGTGGTTTATGTTTCAAACCAACTTATAAATTTTGGTTCTCAATTCGGTTGTAATTTGTTTATGTTCGTTATCTCAAAATTCCTTCATTTATTAGCACATTTGGTTACTTCGTTTTTGTTTTAGGAAGGTTAATTTGGTGGCTTAGAATTTATCCCACGTATATAATTATAATGTATGAAATGATTCTATATTATGATTAAGTATATAACTGTCGAAACAGTGTCTTGGAAGAGATAAGAGATTTCCACGTATATAGTCACTCATCACGATATCTCTGGAACCATTAGAGCTAAAGACTTGAAATTTGGTAGGAATATTATTGTAAGAAGCTGTTAATTCAGTTTCTGAATTTCACTCAACTCAATCATGGCTTGTTCAAGATTAGCAAAAAAACAGTGTTTATCGTGTGTATACATATACACCTTTTGTTACTAAGATACAGATTTATTTTACGTTCATATAAAACTTATGAACATCAAGGCTTAAAGAACTATTCACTCTACTGATGATGATCTATTGATTTACCTCCATGATATATCTTTAAATGCGTTCCTAGACAACCGCAACATCTCTGTTATATTTTCAATAAGACGTTTACTTTATATTTTCACAAGATATTGATGAATTTTGTTTTCAAATGAATGCGCTGCTCTGTCTGTACTGCTTTTGACAAGTTGACGTTGACATTTCAGTGATCGTTCGGGATTTGAAACTTGTCGTTTTGGAATAAAAATTTGTTCCGTTTGAGTTTAAGGTTTTAATACAATTTAAAGCCAAATGAATTTTTTTAGAGAAACGCATCACGAAATAACTCGTGATACGTTTCTCATTAGTTAAAAAATATATGTCACTAGCGATCCGCCCCGGCTTAGCACGGGTGCAATGTAGATACTACTAATGTGATGTCAGTGTGGAGTAATTAATTATACTATTATTATGATAAGAATATACCACAGGATAACTTTAAATGCAATATATAAAGACTCGCTCCGATCTGTAATTTGAATTTAATTTGAATTTGAATTGGATCCTGCTGGCGGCTGTCACCCAGGACGGATGTACGGCACGACGGCCGTTGGACTCCCCCATTTTAAACCTCTAATATCTTCTAAAATATGCATTTTAATGATATTCTGTGAGCAATTTTAATTAAATGCACAACGTATCTAACGTATGAAATTGATATTAATAATGTATTGTTTAAAATAGCTTCGTAAGTTACCCATTACTTTTTTGTGAAATAAGATTAAAAGATAAAAATGGTTATTGTGGGTTATCCTTACGAGATATACATACATACATCATACTGACATATACCATTCCGGACTTTTTTGTAGATATACAATTCATTATTTTGGTCTATCTCGTAAGGTTTCGCCAGCGTTTGTTTTTTACGACAAATCTTTGGAATTCTTGGATTTCTGTAAATATGCATGTGTTACACATATGAACCCGCCGCATGAATCACTCTCTCTATTAGTGAAAATCTCTATTGTATTAGTTTAAAAGATCTAAGCGTACAATACAGAAAAGGCGATTTAATTTTATGATTATGATGATTTATCTTTACATAGTGTAAAGATAAATCATAAACTGTGATACTAAAAGTCTGTCGTTTTTCGCCTGCATTTATAGTTATACCACAAATAAATCAAGTATTTGACCTTGTTGAGGTTGAGTCGACAGTGAAAGCTTCATACTACCGTCATACCGTCCTAGGAAACATGATGCTCATAAAGAAAATTATTTTTAAACACGTAGCATATAGTAAGTAGTAGCGGTAGGCATCTGTTAACAAACTTGCCGTTGACCCAAAAATACGGCGGTGTGTAAATTGAAGCTATGCGCAATTAACGTTGCGAGTGCGGGGATTTCCGATGACGTGTCAGGAGTTGTGATAGTCATCACACTCCCGTTCAATACTGGCTTTTAACGACTACCTATTTTATACCTGGTAATCTATACTGTTGACCGATCTTCAAATCTTACTATAGCGGATCCGTTATCTTACTAAGGCGTAGCCTTTTGGGGCTCCAAAGTGCGACAAGGTTACGCCTTAGCCAGTTACGTTTGTAAAAGAAAAGAGCAATAATGCATTTGGCATGTATCTACTCCTCTTGGGCAGAATTGACCCTCATACTTTTGCTCAATGAATTTTGATCCATCCAAAATTATCTCTAGAATATAATAAAATGTATACAACAGAAGAAAAGTAAAGATTTTATTACAAACATATATTTTTATGCCCAAATGTCAAAAGCAAACATTAATTATCATTATCACCAGAAGAAGTGGCTATAAGCAACTCTTTTGCTTTTTTTAATGTACCACAACAATATAAGCTATGTAATAAAAAAATCAAATTGTTTTTTTTTCGTTTAGTATTTTATGATTATAATAAAGTGCGTTTAAAGATAGCGTGAAGAATTGAGCTGAATTGACTGTCTTGAGCTTGACCTTTTCTAAGACGATTGGTAAATAAAAATATGTAAATGAACAACGGTAGCGCTTATTTGTGTGATTTTATTATAATGTAAAGTAAGCAATGGAATATTCTTACTGAAAATCTAATGTTTCTTCGAAATTCCTAACTCATTTTGTCGCTTTTCTTCGTAAATGTTGTGAATGAAAAACTTTTTTAATTATATTTACTTTGCCAACATTGTTTATTAATAAAATGTCATTTTGTACGTAGCCGAAAAAAACAAATAATTTATTCATATATTGGACGGCCATTTTCTCAGCTTCATTTTCTCCATTTTTCTGTCCCATTCGGTAGTTCAACATTAAAACATCTTGTTTGACTGCATGCCATTTTATCGAAATAAAGTTATTTATTATAATTATATAGTAAGAAATCTTTAGTCCGTTATTATATGTTCGGGAACCCACGCGATCAATAGATAATAAATACTGAAGTTTTAGGATTTACTGTCAGAACTACTGTAATCTGTTTCACGGATACAAAACTAATATATATGAATATAAAGATTTTCATATCAAACTAACTAATGGTTTTGTTTTTATGTCTGGCTTTTCGTAAAATAAACTAACTGTTGAGCGCGACTTCACTCGCATTGAAGGTTCACCATCCTTTAACATCTGTTTTCTGTCCTATACCCTATTCTGTCCTATGCCCTGACAATTTATGTGAAACACTGTTACACTTGGTTCCCTGGCTACTGTTTCCCGATACGGCGCAGCGAGCGGTTTAAGTCGGTTCGAGTCCGTAATAACCCTGCCACCGGCTATTCGGTGAGACGTATCCGAGGGGTATTCCGAATTAAAAAAAAAGTGTTATAAACAAACTCACTTTGTATTAACATTATTAGTTAGGAAATAGGTCCCAGCTTTTTAGTACTTTTATGTTTGTCCAAACTGTGTGCAAACTCATAAAATGGACCGCCGATATATTAGACTGGATCCGAATGGAAACAGAATGGGTCTAAAAGGTATACATTCCCATATATAACGGCAGGGACCGGACAACGGCACAATAGAAAAAACTTGTTAAATGTGTTACTTTTCTCTGAAAATTGCTGAAGCGCCATCGGCTTGCTACCAGCACTTCGGAACCTTGATTAATGGTTTCTAAAAAAAATATAAAAGCCTTACTGAAACAATAGAGAAAAAACATTTTTCATTCTTCTTTTGTATATTTTTAACAGATTATCAATTCGCTGCGTGTTTTCCAATATTAGCAAGCCTACACGAATATAAAGAACCTACGTAATTTATTATTTTGTTGATCTTTCGTTTTCTTATTTGTTAATAAATACATATACTCACGCCTAAATCCAAGGAAGAGTAGGTAAAGGTGTATAAAACCCCCAAATTTTGGCAACTATGATTTAAGTCCCACTTAGGTAAGCAAGCTTATGCTGTCAACCGGGCGCTTAAGGATTTTCATGGGGAAATTAGGAATATATTAAAAGAAAAAGAATTTGGTATACTAAATAGATTGGTGAATGTAAGATCAGGTCATGGATTCAAAGTAATTCCAATTGGCTATTGCTAGAAAGTCCAACGGGTGGTTAAAAACCAACTAAAAATAAGTATACCTCCTTGAATATGCACCGTATTTGTGCTATCATCTGAAAATCAAACAATGTTTCTATTTATCAGTCATGCGTAACTTTGATAGTGCATAAACAATATAGAAATACAATCATGCATTTGAAGCATTTAAATTAATCTACTGAGAATCATATCTAATATTAGATGAAAGCAAAAATTAAGTCTCAGCACTAAAAAGACTTTCATCAAGTATTAAGACGAAGAGAGAGGAAAAATTTTCTCATTACTCTCACTGAATTACACCCACTCAGCGTGTGAAATTAATTAATCTATTATATTAATATAATACAAAGCTTTTGTTGTCTAGTTTCAGGTTTTTGAAGTTATATGACTTTCAGTGAATTTTGTCGCCAACTATAGGTATATTATAAACAATGAAATGTTTTACGTAATAGTTGGAAGTTTAATAATATAATTATTACATAAGTTGAACTTTAAGATATCACAATGTTTTACGTAATGCCACTAAATAAGTACAAATTATAAAATGTAGTCCACCGCCACGTCTATCTGTCTGTTCGCACGCGATAAACTTTAGAAGTAAGTACCAAACGGATTTTGAAATGGTTTTCATGGGTGATCCATGAGGAAAGTATACGCAACGCGCTCGCCGAACATAATGGAGCAGCCAGGGAGCAGAGGGAACATGGGGTTCCCACACGGGGGGGTCGTCTACTCGTCTGTAGATGGCCCGAGGTATGTCGGGGCACCAGGGACTTTCTTTCTAGGGTATACCTGGTTCCCCGGCTATTAGTACCCGAGACGGCGTGCGGTTTTAGTCGGTTCAAGTCCGACATGCCACAGATAGGTGGTATCCGAGGGGATTTCCTCACGAACAAAAAAAGAAAAAAAAAAGGTTTATTATGTTATGTATGTATATATACACATATTATATATATTTTAATCATTACTTTGTATAAATATGACGAAATAAAGCTACCATCGTAGTGTAGGTGTCTAAAAAAACTTGCTGGCTGGGAAGTTTTGCTCGCCTGCTCTGCGTTAACCAGAAGTTTTATGAATATAATGTATTGGGCATTTATTCCTCTTAAAAAGTTCAATTATACGAGTAATAAAACAACGCTATAAGTCTATCCTCTAATATTAGGATAGAATAAAAAAGCTGGCATAATTTTCTTTGTTACCCGTTAAAGTTGTAAGGTTTCTTGTTAAAGATAAATTAAGTTTAAACAACATTGAAGTAGTGTTGTTTAACTAAACTGATTCTATTTACAGGTGAACGCTAAATACGCCTTCACTGGGCCAGTGGGAGTCTAGGTCTAGTTGTAATAAAACAGTGAAAGACTACTTAATGCAGAACATAGTGAGTCACTGATCTAGCTATGTCATTGGAAAGCCTAGTGCCATAAACGGAGAAGTTAGTCCGTCTCTAGACGGCTTTCTACTCGATTGATATTGACGCACACAATACTAAGTGAAATTAAGCAAAGTGCTTTTGATTTTATTTCTATTTTATGCATGAAGCATTATA